ACCTCAGAAGAATAAAAGTTGAGTGTTGCCCCCAGAAGTTTGAACTCTGAAACTTTCGACTGCAAATCTAACAGTTTATCAGTCGAGCCATCTTGTACTGGCATGCTTCAATTTTTTAAAACCTATATAACCGTTTTGGCATCATGGCGAAGCTTATAGATCCCTTCCGCAGTGCCAGCAAGAAGTTCAAACAAAAATTTTTATTATAATCCTAAAATTTTTTTATATTAAACCAAAAAATTGTAATTTCTACCATTATTTAAAAAGCAGAATGTTAGCTATAAGCCATTTAATAATCTAATTATACCTTCTCCTTATTAAAGGTTCATTGATAAACTCAAAATACGCAGGAAACATATTCGGTTTGAAAACAAGGAAACTCAGATTTTCATTGTTAAATAACTACTATAAATTGGGATGTTCAACAGTGGTCTCAGCTTTGCGCAGAGGCGATACCGTAACTGATGAGGATTATCCGAGGTGCGGTTATTGCTGGTTGAAAACTAAACCCAATTCCCCGCCATGGTAATCTGTAAAAAGGTTGTCATTGGCAATTTTTGGAAGCCTTTAGAGGCTAATTGTCATTCAATGATTTAGCATGCAAGGTAACCCTCGTGTACCTGTTTTCGTTAAAGGCGTTAAGGGGGACTTCGTTTTGCACCGCGTGATTCACGTGAGGTAAACACAGAATTCAGCAAGTTTGTATTACTAATTATTAAAAATATAACCCCGAGCAATCTTTCTCATTTCCAAGTTGATAATAACCTTTCAATTCCTAGTGTGATGGAACCCCGATTAAATTGTCATCCTAGGCACCTGGAAGCAACGGAGCAGTGCACTCACATTGAGTAAATTCGGCATTAGGAATTGAAATTTTAGAATTACCGGCGGGATTCGAATTTTAAATTCGGGAGGAAAGTTTTCAAATAAAACATCATGTAATCTTTCTTGCAACTGTTTGATTCCTGAAGCCCTAAAGTTTCATCAAATCGTACATTCTTGCATCTGTGTTACTGCCGAAATTGGATTTTTCGATGACAAATATCACTGTGAATCGAATAGAACCGTTTCAGCTGGAATACGACTTCGGATATCACAGGATTTTTTTAATCGATACTTTGAAACCGATATTGTTCGATTATGAGTTTAATTAGTTATCGGCAAAATTGATAACAGTGAAAATACGAATGGAAAAATATGCAATTTTTATCTATATAGACGTTAGAGTCAGAAAAATATTAGAATACCATTTTTAATAGCTACCCTGGAAATTCAAGATTATGTTTTATCCACAGTAAGAGATAGTTATTGGAATTGTTTGGCAGATTTCGCACTCTCCATAAACCGATATCACAAACGATTAAAGATGATCGCGTTTGCCGGTCAGCAATATAAAAAAAGACTTTTCTTTTGTCAGTCAGTTTCGATGGCCGCCTATCCTCTCGACTCACAAACGCAGACACGTTGGACAGTGTCTTTAACATTCCTGATCCTGTAGAAGTGACTTGCTTCCTCAGGAGATAACCCGAGTCTGGAACAGAGTCAGTCGACGCACTTGTCACTGATCATCCTTGTTGATCCGCAGGATCAATTGCATTGCAGTTGAGCAAACAACAGCTTCATATTCCATTGTGGTCGCACACACGAAACGTTCTCAAACCGTCGTAGCATCGCAACTTTGACTTATCATTGTGCTGAAGCAACCGATGCACATAAAGGCTTCCTACGATCTTTCAACAACGGAACCATTTGGAGACGCATAATCACAGAGAATTGGCTCAAGGAACGAATGTCAGACATTAGCACCGGGATAGCTATTTTTCAGTCATGGCTGATGGTTCATGTTCATAGATGAAATCGGGCACAGCTATTGCTCGTCAGATATGGTACCACGGCAAAGACATCGACGGTGGGAACTCACAGTAAAAAAGTGAAGATGACATTTCTATGAAGAAATAACTTCAACTTCAAGGAAGGCGCTGTTCACACAGGTTTCAACGTATACCGGCGAAACTTAAATTCCAGAGCATCATAAATCACATTCCAAAAATACCAAGCAGAAGCAAAGAAAAGCAACGAACTCTTAAAAATAAGGCAGCACAGTAAATAAATTTAAACAAATAAAACCTATAATCAAAATCTACAGTAAATAAAATGTCGAAAAAGGCTCTATAGTCACAACAACAAAAAAACCGCTGTCACGTGGGATGTCGTACGTCGGTCTTCTTTGCAAAACGGTCCCAGAGAAATGCATTGAACAGCAACGTCCCGACGATGGCGCAATCGATTCCCAGCACCACACCAGTCCATCGGTCAGCAAGAAAGCCACCAGCGGCGAGCAAGGTCACGCTGCGGTCGATGAACAACTGCTTCTCGTTATGGCGAATTCGATAGCAGCGGTCGTAAATAGCCTCGGGTGTTGCCTCGACTTGCTTCAAGCGGTAATGGACCATTACCGGCGCCACGAGAACACCTATTAGAGTTCAAGTCACAGCTTGAAGTCACTCGAGCGGAAAATCGTCAGAAACCTGCGACTAATCCTCCTAGACCGCACTTTGTGGCCATACTCCTGAACGACGTCCCACGGCGAATTATGCTGTACACAGGACCTACCAGTGCACTGCCGAGGAAACAACCGACTTCGGCCGTCTTGTAGGCCACATGCACGAGCAGTTCCGTCTTCGGATATGGAATGGTCTTCATATCCTCGTCGCTGAACGACACGAACTTGTCCAGGTGGGCAAAATTCACAAACCACTGATAACTCATCCCTGCCTCAATGAAACTTTATTAGGCTTGCGATCCATTCATTGCAACAAGCAACCAACATATGACCAAATAGCAACAAAATTGTAGTTTGTGGGGTGGTACACCAACAACGATATTTGGGCTGTTCCTTCAGTATGAATAGCAATCAACGAATCAGATGTTCCACTAAATCTATCTGCCAGAAACGATGCATGTTTAAGCTTTGAAAGAAGGGTTGTCAATCTCAATTAAGGCATTTAAAAACACACTGTTTCACTTTTTGACCGGGTTTGCCAGTTCTTTGGTTGAAATTAGGGTACTAAGACTAATTCACAGAAATTTAACAGCTTCAACTCAGTGATTATCAAATAAATGCTTTTTAATTACGAAACAAGATAATCAACTCCAGAACAACATCATTTCCTGGTCATATTGAAACGAAATTATGATCAGTTTTCACTCTTGAGGTTTAAACCTAAACAGTGAAATTCCTACCCCACAGTATCGATTTATAATATAATTTTCTCTGTTTCGTTTTATGTTTCCCCTGATGATGGATCGAAAATGATTCGAAATATTAGGAATTAGGAATATAATAAATCAATATGCAATTTGTCGTCCAGGAAAATAATTTTAGAATTTTGACAAAAAATGCATAAAAAATCAAAATGAAATTAACGGTAGCATTCGCTATTGAGCTCTCAGTTATTTGTCGTACGTTTAGATCACGGAAACTAACATCAAACAAGAACTGACAGACCGTCTTTGCAGTCGACGCATCCAAACAACGTGCAAAAAATATCTGATTGTATCGATCGGCAAGCATAAAAATTAAATTCGTTCAAAATTTGTTCAAGAAAAAAGCGTTCACGAGTTTGCAAGGAACAAACAGTTATATAAAAGTAATAACAGTGTAAAACGGCTACAAATATCCTTTCCGAAGAAGGTATAAGCTGGAAGTTAATGCAGACACAAAACGATTAGCCTATCAGAGACATCAACTGGACACTTTCTTCATGAATCGGTCATATTATTTATCAGATATGATTCACCACACGGCCGATAAGGAGTATCGTTTTTATTAGCGAAGATGCCATTTACATATGCGGGAAATCAGGCGACATAAATGAACGCGGTTAGTTTCATTATGGAGGTCAGTAAGCATTAAAAAGTAGTAAACAGACTGAATCAATTTGGCAGGTATCAGTGATGGCTAAGAAAATCGAAAGTAGAGCAGTTGTAAAAAAATAAACCGAAAACCAGCAGTCAATGTTTGAACGTCATTTTATGATTGAAAGAAATAACAACTAAATGCAAGGTTGAGTGAAACTGTTTCGTTCAAAATAATATTAAAAAGCAGCCTTGTTGAAGATGAAAACGATGGTTTGATAGGTCTTATTCTTGCCTGGACACGAAGGTGGATATCGACTGATTCGTTAACCGCATGCAAGACGACTTCAGGCAATGGCAAACATGCCGCCAGTAATTCAATTTCATTCCTGCAACAGTTGGCGGGTTTCAGCCGACACTGAGAATCAATGATTCCTCCTGGAAGTGCAGAACTTACAATAAGCCTGATTCAGCCTAGTTCTGATTATGCTACGGTCCATGTAGAGAAACGCATGGGCAATATAACTTTTACCATCTATTGAATTTGGTGCCCTGAACCATGAATCGTTCAAGCACATACCTAAATAAAACTAATAGTTTCCACTTTTTCAATATAATTTTAAACATGCAAATTCAAAAAAACTAATTTTTAAAGCAATTAGGCAACATCGCACTAAGCTCGCATTAAAGCCTAATTCAACGCATCCAATGTGCGTCGAACACGCTTCAAAGAAAAGTTGAAACTTTAGCATGAAACAGCTATCGATCCACAGTGATTTAACGGAGCTGAAGAAATCCATACATCGCCACCGTACACTGCTGAATACTACGCAAAAACGAAAGGATAATAAACCAGATATACAACAAGAGAATTTATCGGTCCACAGATGTGACGCATGCACATGATTGCCGCTGAACCTGCGAATTCAAAGTTACCTTAAAATCTTTACCCTGAGACATGCTCATTTTCCCTTTTTTGCAGCGTAAAATTTGTAATCTATCTGTATTGCAATAATCAATAGATTTCGTATCCATTTTCCCCCATTCCCAGCTGCCCGAATGTTCTTATAAAATTTCCCTTGGGATTTGGGAAAATGCGTTGTGGTGAAAACAATATAAAGCATACAACCACCTCACTGAGAGAGAACAACTTTCGTAGAGGAACACAATCTTTGCTGCAGAAAAAGCGTTGCAAACATCAATTTGACGCTCAGATGTTATAAATTTTGGTTATTCTGCTGCTTAAGCGTTGTTAGAGTCATATGACGAGGATGATGAAAGTCACATTTAAAATCGAAACTTTTTGGTTCAGCGATTTATTATGCGCTGCCACTGTATTTCTTCTGATAACGCGTTTTAAATAATATGGAAGTGTTTTGAATGCTGAATCTCAATTTGTTGCTTGTTCAAAGGCTAGACGATTCATGAAAATATAGAATGTCTAGCGTTTACAATATGTTGGAGAAAATGCGAATAGTTGAAAGACCTATTTTCTACTTGGAAATTACAAAATTTTTTCAATCAATTTTTGGTTATACATATTTTGTTGATTATCACCCTGGATATCGCTGTCATGTGCGTTACGATAAAATAGTAAGGTCGTGACTACAGGTCATAATGGTATGACCTCATCTCAACACAACGTTGCATCATAGGTTACTCAAATGTAGGCATCATCTACCAAGAATCGTTTATCTTTCCTGTTCATTACGCTAAAGAGTGGTCGCTATTATTTGAGAAAACTCATGGCACAGCAATAAACGATCATCTCCAAGCGTCACTC